AGTCTACACACTAACATGGTTATATAGCTATTTGTATCTTATCCAACTTATATGGTCTAACACCTGATGAGGGTTTTGACTTTTACACTACACCCCTTTGTTCTCCATGTTTGAACTGACTCACAAGGACAGATGTGCTTACACCTCCAATGGGCTTATCATTCACACATAATTCACAATCACACTGATCTTCCCATACACACATTGTCGGATCTTATCAGGCTTACACTACCTTTGAGCAACTCATTCAGCCAGGTGGTTTGTACGACACATTCGTTCCGAGCAACGCACCCCTGTAGTACACAAGTATGTATACTATATCCTGAATGAGCCACCACAAAGTATATATATACATAATTATTTCATTAATTCATACAGTCGGCCATTTTATTATGGTGCACTATAATGTACTCTATATATTTATATGATATACATATATATATATTTGTTGTTGTTCTGCTGGGGGACTTCAACGCTCACGTGGGCAATGACAGCAGGATCTGGAGGGGCGTGATTGGGAGGAACGGCCTGCCCGATCTGAACCCAAGTGGTGTGCAGTTATTGGACTTCTGTGCTGGTCGCAGTTTGGCCATAACGAACACCATGTTCGAACATAAGGATGTCCATCGGTGCACGTGGCACCAGGACAGCCTAGGTTGCAGGTCAGTGATTGACTTTGTAGTCGTATCATTTGACCTGCGGCCATATGTTCTGGACACTCGGTTGAAGAGAGGAGCAGAGCTGTCAACTGATCACCACCTGGTGGTGAGTTGGATCACGTGGCAGGGGAGGACGTTGCGCAGACCTGGCAGGCCCAAACGAGCAGTGAGGGTCTGCTGGGAACGCCTGGCGGAAGAACCTGTCAAGATGATCTTCAACTCCCACCTCCGGTCCCACCTCCCCCTCCAGCACCCTACTTAATCCAAAGCTCTGAACCCAGGTTGCACCCACCAACTGCACTTGTAAAGGAGATTGCCCCCCATAATAAAAGGTTTAGCAAAAGAGGAAACTTCCCCCTAAGAACTGTAAGGTCATGACCTCACAGTGTGAAGAACTGCTCCCCAATAAAGATTTCTAAATAATTCCCACAGATGTCATCATCATCCCCATACTGAGATTGAGTACGAAGCCCCAAACCCTTACGACACAGATTCCCTTTCAGCAAGGGCAAATAACCTGAGATTGAGAATAATGAATAAGCTTACAGCTTGCATACACCTACATACGAAAGGACTAGTGAGCGTCAGAGCTACTGTCCAGGACGAAACAACCAAGATCCAGGAATACGTCAGGAAGATGGCTCCCAAAGATGAGCTGCTAAGTGAATACCTCAGGGAGCATAAACCTGAGAATGCAGGAGGGAATGACAAGCCCCTGCACCACGTGTACCATTGACAGATTAAAGAAGTGGCCAACATCAAGAAATCCTACCAGTGGCTGGAAAAGGTTGGACTGAAAGACAGCACAGAAGCACTAATCATGGCAGTACAAGAACAGGCACTTAGTACAGTACAAGATCAATAAAAGCAGGGGTCTACCTCACCAGACAGGACCCCAGGTGCAGGCTGTGCAAAGATGCTCCTGAGACCATTCTGCACATAATAGCAGGGTGTAAGATGCCACAATATCTGGCTGGCATAGTGTACAGGAACATCTTCACTGAGTATGGGCTGGAAATCCCAAGGTCAGAATAGAACCCCTACCTGAGGTGGTTGAGAATGACCGAGCTAAGATCCTGTGGGACTTCCAGATCCAGACTGACAAACTGGTGATGGCTACAAACAACAGAAGGAGGTAGTGGTGATGTAGCAATTCCAAGCGACAGCAACATCAGGTATAAGGAACACGAGAACCTCGGAAAAAAAATACCAAGGGCTGAGGAGTGTAGGGAGTGAAGGCAACAGTGGTGCCAGTGGTAATCAGAGCACTCGGGACTGTGACCTCAAAACTGGGAGAGTGGCTCCAGCTGATTCCAGGTACAACATCGGAGGTCTCTGTCCAGAGAGTGTAGTCCTAGGAACAGCTAAGATACTGTGCAGAACCCTCATACTCCTAGGCCTCTGGTAGAGGACCCGAGCTTGAGGAAGACACACTACCAAACCCCCATGGGAGGGGGGCGAGAGGGGGATTTTTTTTTCTTTCTTTTTTTTTTTTTAATAGTGCCAAATCATAACGAAACATATCCCAGGACTCAGATCAGATGTAGAGTCTCAGAGACTTATTGGAGCAGCCTGATATTAACGAATTACAGCAGCCCAGCCTAGAAGTAACAAATGCGCAGACTAGTTTTTTGCTGCATCTTTTTGTGAAGGATTTGCTTGATTTTTGCAGTGTAACTTGGGTGAAAAAAGGCAGTCTTTGAAGTGTATTTTATATTGGCATAAAAGGATGTATTTTGGTCAAACATAACTTTTTACAGTGGTGCTGGAGGCCAGACCAGGCCAGGCCAGGCCATTTAGAGATACTATGTCTTTAGATAATGATTTTTGGATGTGTTTAGGGCCAAGGACAATAAAGAAATTGAGTGCTTCAGAGATTATGTTTTTCTGTAGGCTGACATTGAAGTTAGCATTTGGGCACATCGCAGAAAATAAACCCTGTGGCAAACAGACATTTGTAATACTGATACGTTTTGTTCAGCAAGAAAGTCTTCACAAATGAACACCACTTTTATGATTTTTGAAGCCTAATGCGATCACCAGGACTAAAAAAAACTAATGTTAGGCTATTAACTAACTGCACCACAATCACATGTCTGAATATCTCCCCCACAGTGAGACTGTAAAGCCACATCAGCATGATGACGTTCTGTAGTCTCATTTAGCAACTTGTTAGTGACATAAAAGCTTCAAAATAAATGAGTGGGTATTAACTGACATATTTTATGTTCTAAAACAAAACTTGAAAGAGACGAGGGAACCGGAAGTGCTAAAATGATAACTCATGCCAGGTGTTAGGACTCCTTCCTGGATAACTCTATTGCAGCTCATCCAGGTTTTTATGTCCTTAAGACATGCTTGAAGTTTAGCTTACTAATTGGTTTCTTTTGGCTTGATCAGTAGATAACATTGGGAATCATCTGCATATCAATGGAAATTTATGGTGTTTTCTAATGTTGCTCAAGGGAAGTGTATAGCAGGTGAATAGTATTGGTTCAGGCACAGAACCTTGTGGAACTCTGTGACTAGCTTTAACATGCATGGATGAGC